GAGGAGAGGAGGGAAAGAATGCTACTTGCCTTCCGTACAGACACCCTACAAATGCAAGTATCCAGAATCCCTGTTGTGGCACTGGCACTGATTTTACACATAAATAAGAACTTTTTCTTCCAGCGGACACAGTTTGCCTGTACCACCTCCCTGCAAAGAGAGAACGTATGCTTAGTATCAGTTGCATATACATTCAGGGCCATAAAATGCAATAGGACAGCTCAAGAACAAACACTGGTTCCACCGTTTGTAGAGTGGTCGCTTCATGCAAAATCTGATCCAAGGCCTGAATAATCATCCTTCATTCTTCTCTTTGTGTAGCAAGACTAATAACTGTTTTAAGCCTTGAACGCAGTGTTAGACCTACAGAAAAATTCAACAGCCATGTGTTTTTGCAAATGAGTGTGACCGTGATTTCTCCAGTTTGCCTCAGGAGAGTAAAGTCTTCCTGAACGCTAGGTCCCAGGCACTGTCTTCAAGCTGCTGAGCTTCGCAATGTGCTCAAGGTACCATCTTTGATAAGTGGCTTTTCAATACAGAGAAAGGGAGCATCATACAAGCAGAACTAGATAAATTTGAGGCCTGGAAAAGTACAAATGAGATGACGTACAATAACCAGATACAAAGTAATGCACTTGGGGCAAACAAGAATTTCAGCTACACTCTGGGAGCTTGCCATTTGAGAGCAAAGTAAGACAACTAATATCTGAATGGATTCGTTCATTGCAGGAGGATTACAACCTGACATATGATGAAGCTTAAAAAAAGGCAAAACGTAGGATGCTTTCAGCTTTATTAATGTTATTATATAAGGCTCAAACGGAACACATTATTCTGTTTGCGTAACTCTGGTTAAGCAAGAACAGACTCCAAAATGAACAGGTACAGGGAGGACAACTAGAAAACTCCTTCATCTTATAAGAAAAAAAATACATATAATAAAAATACACTACGTAATTCAAACACTTTAGAGACCAAATAACTTCAAGTGAAATGAAAAGTGGTTAGGACCAAAATAAGGCATAATCAAACACCCCTTTAAAACTGAAAAGTATAAGGTCCCAAACCACAGAGCAAGTTTCTAGAACAGCCTTCACATAAGAGAATTAGGAGAAAAAAACAAAACAAAACAACTTACTGTATTTAAAGACAAGGTTGGCTAGTTTGTCAATAACGGGGGACATAAGGACTGGTGAGTCTGAAGGACCTGCCTCAATGATCAAAAGCTCTTTTCTAGTCCCATGTTTCTAAACTCAGAACTGGAACTGTGGAGAAACTGTACTAGTTTCTTCTACCACTCTAATCATTCAAGTACAGTCTTCACATATTAAAGCAATATTTGTCCTTTTCTTTCTCTTCCATTTTTCTAATACATACAATCCTATGATTTATATTAGCTTCTTTCAGCAGCTTATTATTGAAGATCTTTAACAGAGGTAGAATTCTATGGATCCCCATAAGCTGGAGTCAGAGTTTATCACCTGTAGAGAAATGACAAATCGCAAGGCTCACACAAAACCTCCGATTTGCTCTGCTTGTGAGACTGCCAGCTACAGTGCTCACTGGCACTGTGACTTCCTAAGGTAGGAATAAACTAGCCTGCCTAAAATGAGTCAGTTCAACGACCACAATAGACTGATGAATTCTGATGATACGGCACTGAGTCATATTCAAGAATGTGACCTAAGAGGAACAGGCTCTGTACACCACAAACTACCTGCCTTTTATCCCTTATGTTTTATATTGTAAACTTCCCTGTGCTTTAGAAAAAAAAAAAAAATCCCAAGCTGCCGGTATATGAGTTATTTAAATCCACAATAGAACCTGAATTCAAAACAGGCAAATTACTAATAGTTCCATCCTCTACTGGAAACAGGCTCAATCAAGAAGTCATCAGGTAAAGTACAATCTTAAAGGGATATTTGGTAACTGCTAACATTTGTTACACTTAAAAGGACTAGAGATAACTTGTAGCACTTATGTGATCGTTGCTCAACTCTCAGGTAAAGAAAGTAGTCAACGAGATGTCTGTTGGCAAGCAGAGCACAGCTACCAAGGGCATGGTATCTGGGGTCTGCATATTTGCAGGTTTCATACCCTGCGTTTAAACATAACGCAACTTCTGAGAATGCTCTTTCTCTGCAGATCACAGTGGTCCAATAGCTTAGAAATGAAATCTCCAGAGTTTACTTTTTTTAAAGTTCTTTTATTTCGAAGTAACATTTTGAGCTTATTCTAAAACCAAAAAAATAGAAGAGAGAGAGCAGCCCTGCGGAGAAGGGCTTGGGGGTGCTGGGGGTGAAAAGCTGGACACGAGCCGGCAATGTGCGCTGGCAGCCCAGAAAGCCAACCCCATCCTGGGCTGCATCCCCACAGCGTGGGCAGCGGGGCGAGGGAGGGGATTCTGCCCCTCTCCCCCGCTCTGGGCAGACCCCCCTGCAGACCTCA